CATTGGTCAGCAGAACAAATCAGGATTTGCACAAAACTTCAGCTGCCCCCCATCTCCGGATCCGCTGATCATATAGACGAGCGAGCGGCTCTCACTTGAAGTAACCTCTGGTTATAGATTTTGTCACCAGTGGCGCAGGAGCGCGGCAGTTTACCTTTAACCTGCTGCCTGAGTCTGAGGATTGATTGAGAAATCTCAGCAATGTACAGAATGCATGTTCTTTTCTTATGCAATGGGGGGAAGGGGGGGCGGGGGTCATTCATGGAGGCATGCTGGTCTAAGAGGTGAAATTGGCAGTAGCGCAGTATTGCGGAGCCATTGTCTTTTTTTTGGTCTTCTTGAAAACATAACTCGCTCATTGTTCTCCTTCTCCGCAGAATGACAGAAGTGATGAATACATGCGAGCCAGCCCCGATGGAGGAATTCAAGCTGAGCGTTGCGACGGCTGCCGAAGGACACCCCGTGCAGGTAGGTGACTTGTTCCAGGGAGAGGTTTTGTTAAAGAGAACCTTTCACAGAATAAAGGGCAATGTCAGGCAGCAAGGGCAATTGGTCAATGGCTAAAACATGTATGGTGGCCCATTGCATCCAGGCTCAACACACACAGAGGACTGCAGCCTCTGTCTGTGAAAGTACAGTGGAAGTCTATGTAAACCCAATCACAATGCTTATTTCCTATGCTCATCAGCGCCATCCAGTGGACAAAATGCAGTATTATATTACATATATTCGACTTAAATAGAAAATATATCTTAAGAACATTCGTTTTTGTGTCTATGTAAACCCAGTCACAATACTTATTTGCTATGCTTCCCACCTCCTTCTAGTGGCCAAAATGAAGCATTACATTGCATACATTCGACTTAAATAGAAAATATATGACATTACGAACATTTATTTTTGCATCTCTCTAAACCCAATCACAGTGCTTAGTTGTGATGCTCCCGGGCTCCATCTAGTGGCCAAAATACAGCATTACATTACATACATTTGACCTAAATAGAAAAAAATCTAAGAACGTTTCTTTTTGCCTCTATGTAAACTCAATCAAAATGCTTATTTCTGACGCTCCTCAGCTCCATCTAGTGGCTAAAATGCAGGATTACTTTACATACATTTGATCTAAATAGAACATTCGTTTTTGCGTCTATGTAAACCCAATCACAATGCTTAGTTCATTTGTCCCCGAGTGAGTGCCATCTAGTGGCCAAAATGCAGTTTTACATTACCTACATTCGACCTAGATTAACAAAAACTCTGTTTTTGTGTCTATGTAATCCCAATCAGAATACTTATTTCCTATGCTGCTCAGCTCCATCTAGTGGCCAAAATGCAGTATTTCATTACCTACATTCGACATAAATAGACAATATATCGAAGAACATTCATTTTAGCATCTACTGGCCCAGGAAGAACATTTAGAAAGATTTGTAGGGCGAATGGGTCAGAAACTTGGTTATAAATAGACCCCTTTAAAGAGGAACTCCATGATTTTCAAAAGGAGTAGCCCCACTGCAAGGGTTAACTGCTGAATCTGTACCCCCCTGAAAGCTTGACTGTAAGTAGATTGACCACATGTGTTTTTTAGATCTTACAAAACAATGGTGGCATCAATTGTTGTCACCATCAGGAAACCGTGCAGCCGTCTCTGGAGTGCATGTTACAAAAGAGGTGACAGGGACTCTTTATATTAGTTTTGCGTGCCTTACTGATAACCTCGGCGCCCTCATTGAGTCTCTCTCTCTCTCTCTCTCCACAGATCTTTCCAGACTCCCATGATAAACATCCCAAGCTGACCAAGAGGTTACCGTCCATCGTGGTGGAGCCCATGGAGTCGGGGGACGTGGAGAGCGGAGAGCTGCGTTGGCCACCAGAGGACATCTCACCGACAGACGACAAAAGGGAGGCAAAGCCCTGCCAAGGATGTTCATATGTGGAAGGTACGCGGAGACGACTTTGCTCATAATTTCAAGGGATAGTCCACCTTTTCACAAAAGAGTTGAACTAACTGACCCGCCCCCTACTCCGGCCCACGCTGCATTTACCTGCTTAGGTGACTTTGCCACCCATGCCAGTCAGTGTAATGGGCCGCACACTACAAACTTCTCTACACGGCCCTGGAGGCCATGTAGCATCATAATGCTGGCAGGCAGGGGCGTCCCGAGGCTGGGTGTCACCCGGAGCGGAGAAGGGGTGACGTCATCACGCATGCGCGGCCATCTTATTGACGCCTGTCGGCGGCCATCTAGATCATGGACGCAGGCAGAGAGAGGAGGGGCCGTTCATCCTGCGGGATGAGGTATGCCGCCGGGTCCCCTCCTCTCTGCTGACACTGTCGGGCTCTTGGTCCATGACCGCGTGCTGGACTTTTCATAGGGGGTGACGCCAAATGTATGTGCCGATACTGAGTATTTGGGAGAGTACTCGTACTCGCCCAAACGCTCCGATACCTTCCCCAATACCGGAACTTCTGGTCAGAGCAAGTTTTCCTCTGATTGGCAGTGCCGTAGGGGAACATGCAATCAGGAAGCAGGGTGGCGAGTAATGACCCTCCTCGAGCTTCCTGATTGGCCAATGTTGATTGACTGGAAAGCCAGCTTCCCAGCCAATTAGGAAGACGGGAGCATGCCATTACTTGCCTCCCTGCTTCCTGATTGGCCAAGAAGCCGGATTGATGCTGATTGCCTAGGAAACGGTTTTCCCGGCCAATCACAATCGAGTCAGCCAAACAACATGGAGCCGGCTTCCTGGACAATCAGGAAGCCAGGCGACATATCATTATCTGCCACCCGACTTCCTGATTGCCCGGGAAGCCAGCTTCATGCGAGCGGAAGCTCCGGTATCGGTGCATCCCTAGTGCACACTATACGCGAAGGTGCGAGCCCCGGCTTAACCCCGCGACATCTAAACATTGAAATGTCAGTTGTGAGCGACATTTAAATTCTATCATCTGAACGGCATATTTTCAAAGCAGCGCGGGTGACTTTCACCTGGTGGTGGATCAATCACTGTCATGCCCAGGAAGATTCGCCTGCAGTGAATGCTTGGTGAATGTCGGGTTCAGTGCTTTGTAAACATGCCCATTAGATGGCGACTGGTTATCTTGCGCGGGAAGTGTCCCCTCCATAGCACCGGCTCATTTTCCAGTATATATGGTGCGTCCTTCATAATAGATCTTCCAATCCTCTCTTGACCATGTTGTTTTCTTGTTTTGGCGAAGAATCTTTCTGTGATTTTCCGGCACTTCCACATTTCAGACATAGCTAAACCCTGTAATCGGTTGGTGTGTTTTCAGCGGCTTCTTCGCCTGTAATCTGCTGGTAGTTTGTAATCTTCGGCAAGCCTCCAGCTGTCCCACAACAAGCCAGCCGCCCTCGTGTTACACCTACGCAGCGAACGTCTGACCTTAAATCACACCTAAACCCAATCACTAAAATCTCATGAAATCAATAACATGGTAATAATAGCGTTTCAAGAGCAACGTTCAGTGCGTTTGGTTCTGCAGCTTCCAATAAAAGAATCCCTGAGGATCCTGCCATGAAGGTCCTTGTTCAGGCACTTCCTGTTATAGGGTGACAACGCTCTGGTCCTGTCTCTCAGTTGTGCTTCTGTGTCTGGATATCTGTGACTTCCTAGATTTCAGTGCTCTGAAAGTGTCCTTTCTCCTGCTCGTGCTTTTCCATACTTCCATTTTGCTCTAAGGCCGTATTGTTAGAATGGCTGAGTCTAGGTGCACCACTTTATACATGAGCTCACGTAGGTGTGCTGTGGTCCTGCCTCTCAGTTGTGCTTCTCTGTTGTCACCCTGTCTGTCAATGGAGACAATAACTGGCCAGTTCAACATATGTTGAAGTGACACTAAACTCAGGAGTTGAATCTTAAAAATACATTTAACTACCGTAACTATTGATAACAATGTCTCTTATTTGTGTATCACTAGGCTGTAGATCCTCCAATCATCTCTGAATTGGTGCTGACACTGTCCTTCCTTCTAGAGGGGGGCTACTTTTGTTCCCCATGGTCCCTATGTGTGTTGTAAAGTAGTCACCGCTCCAAGTTCGCTCCCGTGAAGGACTACAAGCTCAATACAGATGAGTAAACTAAACATGTGATTGTAGTCCATCACTGAGATCATTCAGACTGCATTTGGGGCACCGCTGTCAATCACTGACATCATTCATGCTGCAGTTGGGGCACCCCTGTCAATCACTGAGATCATTCATGCTGCAGTTGGGGCACCCCTGTCAATCACTGAGATCATTCAGACTGCAGTTGGGGCACCCCTGTCAATCACTGAGATCATTCATGCTGCAGTTGGGGCACCGCTGTCAATCACCGAGCTCATTCAGACTGCATTTGGGGCACCCCTGTCAATCACTGAGATCATTCAGACTGCAGTTGGGGCACCCCTGTCAATCACCGAGATCATTCAGACTGCATTTGGGGCACCCCTGTCAATCACTGAGATCATTCAGACTGCAGTTGGGGCACCCCTGTCAATCACTGACATCATTCAGACTGCAGTTGGGGCACCCCTGTCAATCACCGAGATCATTCAGACTGCATTTGGGGCACCCCTGTCAATCACTGAGATCATTCAGACTGCAGTTGGGGCACCCCTGTCAATCACTGAGATCATTCATGCTGCAGTTGGGGCACCGCTGTCAATCACCGAGCTCATTCAGACTGCATTTGGGGCACCCCTGTCAATCACTGAGATCATTCAGACTGCAGTTGGGGCACCCCTGTCAATCACTGACATCATTCAGACTGCAGTTGGGGCACCCCTGTCAATCACCGAGATCATTCAGACTGCATTTGGGGCACCCCTGTCAATCACTGAGACCATTCATGCTGCAGTTGGGGCACCCCTGTCAATTATTGAGGGGTGTTTTTGAAATAGATGGTTGCCTATACTTTGCAGTAGGGATACGACACCTCTTTATTTTGCAGCAGGTTTTAGGTACGCGTCGTGTTTTGTTTATTACAAAGGCATTGGAGGTGAAGATGGAAAGTACAGGGAGGAACGGGCAGCAGACAAATCATATTAAAAACACAAACCACAGATTATCTGTTAATGCTGTTTTTCCCCCCTGACAAGCTGTCATCTTCAGCTGAGTCTCTTAGAAGTCTGCTCTGCAGAACTTTGCAGGGGCGAACGGGGCCATTTTATTAAAATAAGGTTATCTGAACGAGCTGTGTGGGATTATGGGAGGAATCAACGTTTTCTATTTATTTTTAAGCTGACACTATTGTTATAGGGGGAATTTATAGAATGTTTGCAGAGCTGTTCGCTCAGCAAATGTCAGCACTTTGGATGCACATCACATTCTGGCCACCAGATGGAGCTGAGGAGCATGGGGATTTTGGCTCCATCTAGTGGTCATAATGTCATGCGAATCTAAAACTTACACATTTGCAGTGCGAACAGCTCTGCGAATGTTTTATAAATACACCCTTAAAGGAAAAACTGAATCCAGCATCTGGCACTAAACGTCATCCATTTATGAGAATCAATAAATTACTTATATACACCGTTTTTTTTTTCTCTCCTAAATTTTCCCTCTGCATGTCCCCCATGGAGTCTGTTTTTCCATTCAGTTTCGCAATGTGGGTACAAGCAGTGCATGTACATTGCGGTCATGTGCACCGCTCTGCTCAGTCTTTCAATTCCCAGTAATAAATGCGCCTGACGATTCTACTACACATGCGCTCCCAGAAGTAATTTGTTTAGGCTGGTGCCTCCCACAAGCATCTGACACCTAGGATCTTACCAGTGGGCAGGTGCTTTTACATGCCAGCAGTGGCCGAATTGGCATGTAATACTGTAGTCCATCATAGGAGTGTGCCGAGGAGGCTGGCTATGTGCCCGCACACAGCGGGACCTGATCCATTTTCTGCTGCAGTTTCACTGTCACTTACAGGC